CACCTAAGTAGCTAGGATTACAGGCACCCGTCACCATGCCTGGTTAATTTTTGTATTTTTAGTTGAGGCAGGGTTTCACCATCTTGGCCAGGCTGGTCTTGAACTCTTGACCTCGTGATCCACCTGCCTCAGCTTCCCAAAGTGCTGAGATTACAAGCATGAGCCACTGCACCTCGCCCTAATTTTTTAATTTTTTATTTTGTAGAGACGGGGTCCTGTCCTGTTGCCCAGGCTGATCTCCAGCTCCTGGGTTCAAGCAATCCTCTTGCCTCGGCCTCCCACAATGTTGGGATTACAGGCGGGAGCCACCATGCCCAGCCCAAAAGATTAACAAGAGAAAAACAAATGGAGCTATATTAACATGTATACTTTGCATATACCTGTGAGATGCCCAAGAAAATGAGTAATTCTCAAAGGAGTGGCTTAGAATTCAGGTTTAAGTACCATCTTCAGCTAAAAACAAATAAGGGAGTGAGGAAGGCCAGTTTTGGGAAAAAGACCCGAAGAAGCACAGAAAACAAGTTGCTGCCTTCTCCATTGATAAGGGTCTCTGGTGATTTAGAATCATCTTTCTCTTCCTGGTACAGAGAGGGAGACACCCTTATGAAGAGTGTAAGCGATTTCTTCTAAGACTAAATTTATCTTTCAAAGGGGTAGCTTATGCTGTTTTCATAGCTTCTGTTTCTCAAAACTATCAGCTCAAAATAATCCTCATGCCAACGAGGCATATTTTGGGGTGGCATATTCTGGTCTCCTACAGATGTATGCCTGAAAAGAAAATTAGCAATTTGGCTCTAGAAGAATAAACAGTGTTAGCTAATGAGATGTCAAAATGGAACTTGCAAGGTTGCTTCCGTTGGGGGCCACACAGTGTGGCTGTATTTCTGAGGGATCATTCTGATCCAGAGTTGATTTGGTCCTTCATGATTTATAGGCCTGGAAACTGGATATTAAAATTCACTGATAATTCACTCTAATCAACTCTAAAGTGTCTTTCCTTCACTAATGAAGTCTATATGGTTTTATCACATGCACAACAGTCGAAGTGTTGCATGTCATACGTCAAAGAATAACTCAAGAGAAGGCCAGGCGTGGTGGTTCACACCTGTAATCCCAACACTTTGGGATGCCAAGGTGGGTGGATCACAAATGGGGTCAGGAGTTTGAGACCAGCGAGGCCAATATGGTGAAACCTGTCTCTACGAAAAACACAAAAATTAGCTGGGCGTGGTGGCACGTACCTGTAGTCCCAGCTACTTGGGAGGCTGAGGCAGAAGAATCGCTTGAACCCAGGAGGTGGAGGTTGCAGTGAGCCAAGATTGTGCTACTGCTGTCTCTTATACACATCTAGACAGTAGAGACGGGGTTTCACTGTGTTAGCCAGGATGGTCTCGATCTCCTGACCTCGTGATCCACCCATCTCGGCCTCCCAAAGTGCTGGGATTACAGGCTTGAGCCACCGCGCCCGGCCCCCCCAGTCAATTCTTTAACACACCTAACACCAAGACAAGAACTTGAAGGCATCCATCTCCTTCCCACCGGCTTCTATATTCCACTCAGGCTGCAGGATGAGAGAGGCCTGGCATCAAACCCTGATCTGCTGGTTTGTGGCTGGGCAACCCTGGACACATAATTCTGACCTTGGGCCCCTCATGTGTACTGAATTTAAACACAACCTCATGGTGATACCTCAAATATTTAAAACAAGAATTAAGAGATTTGGCACAAAATAGGTGTTCAACATTAGCACCTTCCTCTTCCATGAGTTTTTCCTTTAAGATGAGTATACATTGACCTCACCCTCCACTAGCTCCTGGGGCACTCAGCCCCTCTGCAGAACTGAGACTTTGGTTCTCTTTGCTTTGCCTTGTAAATATCCTGTTCATGAGTCTCTCAGGGCAGGACTCTTCCCTGTTATTCCTCTCCACTGTTTCAACTCCTACCCTTACCACCTCTCTTGGCTTCATTCTCAACTTTTATAAGACTTTTGCTTTAAGTGTATAATAAAATAAAATTTGTACTGAGCCTGGAGCATAGCAAACACTCAGAATTCCCTTTACCTTTCACACTAGCATCGTCCAAAACAACTTCCACAGCGACAGAAATGCCCTCTAATCAGTGCGGCCCAATATGGTAGCCACTGGCCACCTGTGGCTACTGACTGCCTGAAATGTGGTTAGTGTGAAAATTAAATTTAATTTAATCATGCATACCAAGTGGCTGCCACATTAGATGGGGCAGATCTATATAAGGCCCAGCTCTATACAAGACACCAGATCCAGGAGGGAGCCAGTCATTGTCTGAAATTTCTATAACCTTGCTCTGGATGGAGCAGGGCAAGGCCTCAAACCGTTTCAAAACTGTTCTAGCAAGCACTTAAGGAATGCATAGGGTCACCGCAGACCCAAGCACGCTGGAGGCTTGCTACCCTCATTCACCCAAATCCCCCACACTCAACGAATCTGGCAGCCCACTCTCACTAAGCACCAGTCCCTGCTGGAGGCTGTGGGAAGAGAACAGAGTTCAATTAGGCACCTAAGCTTGGTTCCAGGAGCCCAGAGCTACTGATGACTCTCAGGGAAAGATCATTTCTGGCTAAGGAAGAAGGGAAGGTGTCTTGGAAGAGATAAACTTATTAAATTATTAAATAGATCAGACAACACGAACTAAACTTCCACATTATTCTATGACACTACAATTCTAGCATGACTCTTCACTGTGACCAGAAACATCCTTATTTATCATCATGTAGTTAATATAAATGCAGCCTTTTCCCCTTTATTTTTCTGTCATGTATCTTACGGCTCAGAAATCACTTCTGAACGAGTAAGTAAGACAGGACACATGAAGTAGATTTCATTTTCCCCATGAAATAATGGTTCAGAGAAAACGCAGGCCTAGTTCCAGGAAGGCAGAGTTGGGGTCTTTGCAACGTGATTTACCGGGGCATCTTGCAAAACAGTTGCTGTGACAGTAAGCTCTTCCACTTTGAGACCATCACCTCAGCCAAGGCTCCCACCTAGAAGGGAACAAATGTAGTTAGCTCCAGCTTGTGCCTCTGAACCATTATTCAGCTCTGGCTCCATGCAACGCCTAGCCCACTCTACAGCCCCTCTTGAGGCAGGTCTACACACCACCCCATGCCTTCCGGTGAGGTCCCTCCAGACCACACGTCTCATACCGCCCACTGGGGTCCACCCACGTCATGCAGGAGAAGCCCCATTTCTCTGCTGAAAGAGAAGCACGAGGTTACTTATCACGTAACCCCCGAGTCTCCTCCGGGGAAAATGTTCCGAACGCGCTCAACCCCGTCTTGCGAGGAAGTAGCACGTGTAGTGAAGGCTTGGGCTCCAAGAACTACTGGTGCCCCCACTCACTGCGGCCCAGCCTCCCACGCCGCCCGCCACTCAACCCGATCCCCCACGACCCCTACCTGGGCTCAGGAATGGTCAGGCAACACGTGAGGCCCAGGATTGCGGTGGATGACTATGCTGCAGAAGACCGCGCCGCGGCGAGTACAGAGTA